AATTAAAAAAAAAAAAAAAAAATCATATCACCCCTACAATACTAAGTAACCTAAAATATCACACACACCCCAATAACAGAGCTGATTAGTAACAAATGAAAGTTATCATTATTCTAATATGCTGTCAAGAATAACAGCTGCTAAGAGGTATTAGTACTAGAAAAGCTTCACTTGTGAATGCAAGTACATTAGAACTCCTGATTAACATAGTCTATCTCAGGCCTATAGGACTGCAAGTTGTTTAGAATAGTAAGGATGCAATTTTTCAGACGTTGTCATTAACCAGTCCCAAATTAATTTTTATGCCAATAGATGCTGGTATGAATTTTTCAACTAACATTCTCAAATTCATATAAACAAGTTGTGATTACTAAAAAAATATCAATTGCTAGACTATAAACTTTAACTTTGAATAAGGTCCTTAGCTCTGAATTTGGAGTGAGTTATAATGTAAATACAGCAACATGACTGCTTTCAAGGTCAATTAAAATTTATAGTTAATAAGGAGCTCAGGTGGCACTATAGTTAACTGCTTAACTGCTAAGGAAAGGCTGATGTTTCCAAACCACCCAGTGGCTATGCGGTAGAAAGATCTGGAGATCTGTAAATCTTCTGTAAAGATTATAGCCAAGAGCAGAAATTCTGTGGGCATTTCTACTCGGCACACATAGGGTCACTGTTGTCAGAATTGACTTGATGGCACCCAACAATAACCACAAATGGGAATTTAGGAATACAGAGCCTGTAGTCTGATCAATGATTACCACTGAGTGCAGATTATTCAGTCTGGGATAGGACAGAGGCATAAACACAAAACATACAAGAGTCTAAACACAATAATTAGACCAAATAATGTAGAAATCGTTTCATCAGAAAACCTGCTTACTAGTACAGATAATCTGAGTGAATCAAAATTTATTTTCAGTTGTAAAACATGCCAAATGCCTCTCCTCTACAGAACTATTCCATTTCGTATGTTTCCTGAATCACATACAGTATTCGTTTTACATTTATAAAGTATAACAAAAAGGGGAAAAGTAAAGTGAGCTTCCAGTTTAAAAATAAATTCTTAGCTGTAAACAGTAAAGTTAAAATGCATGCAATAAATTTTTAGCACAGTCATGTGAAGGACATTTGATCTAACAGTCTGGCATTTTTATAATCAGCTAATGTACAACCTCTCATACTTATTCCGAAGTAAATTTCCAGTTAATACCACCAAATGTAATTCCAAGCTGGAATACTCCTTAAGTACCTCTGTTTTAACACACGTTCTTCGATTATATTCTTTACACTGACAACTTTCAGTGCTTTTGCATCTCCTCAAAACTGAGGGCCTTGCACTATTCTTAAATATTTTACAGTTTCGTTTTCTAATCCACTGCCCGTCTAGTGGATTTTTATTTATAGCGACCCCCTATATTCAACATTAACTCTTCTCTTAAGAATACAAACACACATGTCATAGAAAGCTTTCAGCCGATTGCCAACATCAACTATAATATGAAAAGTCTTTATTAAGAGAAAAACAAGTATATTCTAGAACCTCAGGTAATCTAAATTTTACACAGTGAACAATGTTATTTTGAGAAATCGAATTTTAATGCTAAAGAGAAAAAAACTGTTTTCAATTTTCAGTAAATGTTAATGCACTTTTAGTTTTAGTAAGCTCTTAAAAAAGAAGAGTTCTTGCCTATGACTAGTCAAAAACTACCACCAAACTATCTCAAGTTTACGTCTTCGGAGGAAGAGGAAGAAAAAGGACTCCCCAAAAATATATGCTGTTATATTACACTAGTAACATTTTCTTTTAAAGCTAATAATCTGACTAAAAACAACTCAAAGAAGCCCCCACCACACTTAAAAAACAAAGTCAGTCTGGCTCCCATACCCACTCCTCATTCTATGCACTAAGTCAATGAGAACAGAAGGATGGGAGAGTGCAAAGGAGAAAGAAAATTGGGGGCAGATGGCCTTGGAACAGCAGGTGACTCTGAAAACTGTCAGTCTAAAGTAATCGATAATTCCAGACCTAGATGCTTCGGTGCTTCTTCCCAAACTCACAGAACAGTGTCCTTCGAAAAGAAATCACTTTCCATTCATGGTTACCCTCTAAATCTATCCTGTGGTCACTCCTGATTTAGGATTTTGACGGAAAAAGGCGAAATCGAGAGAGGGAATTAAAGGAGAAGGGCTGAGTAATAAAGCAAAAGAGATAAGGTTTGTCAACCATAGGTTCGTTCAAAAAACGCGGAAAGCTATCAAGCCGACATCAACTCTAAACATTCGTTACGAAAAAAGTGTTGAAAAAAGCCTTATCTAAAATCCAAAGTAATACATCCGCAAGAGTAAAGTAAGGCAAAAATATCATTTAGGTCATTTCCACTAAGGCATCTCCTCGTCGATGTGACCGAGCGCCACCACCCAGCACCAGGTCTCTACTGCGCCCCGGGGAAAGTGAGGGGGATGATGCTGGAGCAAATACCTCGTTTTGTCTCCAAAGGGCAACATAGCAAACGCAGAAAGTTCAAGGAGCAGATCATGCGTCCTTGGCGGAGCCTAGACTCCAGGAGGTGCCGGGGTCGACGACTTGCCCAGGTAAAGCCGGCGACTCGGAGCCCGCTCCCCTACGGGCCCCGCCGCCGCGCCACAGT